TCAGAACAATGACAAATATGGAAATACTAATATATTATTAGTCATATTTTAAAATAGATATAGTTGACATTAATTTTATTAATCTCTAGTCATTAAAATTGGTTTAGGTTTCAAAGCCACCTGTAAAAGAAACACAGCATGTTTATATTAAGTAAAGAAAAACAAATTAAAAAATATTAGGAACACTAATTGTAAGCAAATCTAAAATTTACAATGCAATAATTGAACTAAAATCAAAAGTTAAAGGGCCAATTCTTCCAATCTAAATAGAAAATGAGGATAGCTTCCAATAGAAATGATATGGAAATGTTATGTTATGGTCCTATCTTCGTATGAATTGGTAGTACAAACTGGCAAAAAGCTATGTACTATGTACTATTAAGGCGTTTTACACATAAAACCTAACTTCACGTATGTGTTATCAATGAGACGTCAAAAAGATGCACTTATGATGAAATTGTTATTTTACGTTTGTGCGTTTTGTAGGTTAGGTTTTATGTGTGGAACGATTGATTGAACAGCAATTACATAACTTTTTGACACTTTTTACTGCGAATTCATACAAAGACAGGACCGTAATATAGCGTTGTCATAACATTTCTACTATATTAAGGTGACCATATTTTTTTAAGTCAAAACATGGACGACAATTTTTAGCTATGCTAAACCGGGAAAGAAATGCTTTTTAAGGAAACACCAAAAACCAGTTTTTTTATATGAATAATTTTTTTTTAATCGAACTGCGGACTTTTTGAAAGGACTTTGTTGTTCAATTATATGTAATAATCTTTTAACTATGTTTTATCTCTCTTTTACTCGCATTTGAGCCTTGTATAAAACTTTGCTCAATTTTGTTTATAATTAATTTGAAAAAATTAACACTTGTTCGTTTATTTTTGTAATTTATGTTAATTAACCTATTAATATTAAAAAAACGGGACATTCCGGGACAAAAGATCTAAATCCGGGACAAATATTGCTTTTAGAAAAACCCGGGACAAAAGGTGTAAATCCGGGACACAAGGTGGAAATCCGGGACAGTCCTGGCCAATGGTGACCTTAATTGTATTGGAAAATTGGTTCCTAAATCATAAAAATTATGTGAAATTAATATATATATATATTTGAAATAAGTACCATATATTAATGATAATGCATAAGCATATGGATGCTATTTTCACAAATTACTCTATATTTTTGCAATAAACAAACTTTGTTTCTTGTGATAGAATTTTCAGTTGAAGTGCATATTCGAAACACAGGTTTATATCATATGTGATGCAATTTAAAATATTCAAGTTTATTCCCACTTCATGTCAATTATTAAAAATTTTAAATATTTAAATTAAAGTATTTCTTTATATAACGTACAAATACATTTTTATAATATTTTCAATAAAAACAACATAACTGATTTTAGCTTACAATGACAAAAAACAGGGGTCACTATTACTGATTCCATTCTTATTCAAATGAACAGTTTGCTAGTAATAATTAGTTCATTTGACATCGGTACGGACGGTTTTTCAGACCAAAACAAAAAAGTTAACCATGCGGCTCCAATTAAAATTGGTCAAAGGGTTAATTCGCATTAATACTTCTCAACAAACGGCGAAGGTAGCCTATAATCACCGGTTAGTGTTATGACGAGGGATCATATTCGAATCACGATCGCTCGCTCAGAGTATTTAAAAAATATTCGCGTGATCCAACGACGAAAGAAAATGCTGATCGTACACACGTGATATACAGATAACCCATCATTTCATTTGAAAATGAATCATTGGAATGCTGCAGCAATGTTTTTGTGCCAGTTAAATGTACCAGACAACTAAGAGCCCGATTCAAATTTTTCACTTAAACCGCACATTAACAGCAATCGCGATATATTTTAAGGCATTCATTTTGCAAACGATGGTATGTGGATAATAATTAAATAATTAATGTGAATAGGGCTTTTAATCACTGCTAAGACTACCTTGTTACTATATGAAAACTAATAGATCCGCAGTGTAGGGAAGACTGTGTACGGTTGTGCCAGGGTGCAGTAGTGACAGTCGTTATAACAACTAAACTATACTGTTTTGTGAAAGTTTTCAAGGGGCGTATGATGTAGTATGTTTTTTTGAACAAGTTTCCATTATTGCTTTTAGTCAGCGCCTGACATCAACATGATCTATAGACCGCATTGCATTTAAAAAAGAAACAGAAGTACATTTTTTCGTTCGGTTTCTTTTAATAATAACTGTTACACTTATACAGATAGATCACTTTGTTGTTATTTTGATGTAAGTTAAACATTAGTAGTCAATTACCAAGAATAAGTTTTTGTATAGATTACTTAGGTCAGTCATAACGATGATTTATTTTCAAAAGTGTGCGTTAGGTGGGTACCTTTGTGACAAATATTATAGGTATGGTTGTGACATGTATTTTTTCCCTTTTCTGATAAAATTTAATAAGTAAAAAAAATAACTTAACTAAGACAAAATGATAAAGAGAAAGGTAAAGAAAAATTCAAAATAAGATAAAAAAAATCAGAATGATTTCTTACTAACTTTGTTTAAAAAATATGTTTTGTTATATATTGCTATATTATATTCATTAGCTTTGTTTAAATGGTTATGACGTGTTGTGATATATATTTCTGACAATAAAAGTCGTTATAAGCCATTTTGATGTTTAAGTCTATTGTTTTGTAACATATTTTTATGTCTGTCACAATCGTTCCTGGGGATGTGGAAGGTTGTAAAACTCGCCCTTTTTTGTATGATTTGATTTTGTGGCTCATCCATCGTATTTAGTATTTCCACAAATTACAAATTACCACTTAATTTATATTTCTTTCAGCTATCTAACTGGTAAATTAACAAAATTATGGCTGACCAAAAAAACGGTGGCACAACCGTACTCAGTCTCCGCTACTATATAATAAAAAATATCAATAATAAATCTAAACATTTATTAATATCTACAGTGGTATTTTGTAAGCAAATATATAACTGATACTATGGTTGAAAATTTATAACGTTATCAATATATATACTCGTATATATATATATATATATATATATATATATATATCAACATACAATATACGAGCATATTTTTACAAATTATTATGTTTTTCATAATAATTATTAACTAATAACATATTTCAGATTTTGACCCTGAGATCTTTATCACTATTATTGGATTGTAATTATTCATATCTTTATGCACATTACATAACAGAATGTTTTATATAGACCAATATTTTTATAATACTGAATAAGGTGACCCCTTTATATATACATCATATATGCATATACATAATCAATTTTACTTTTTGCTATAACTTATTTTGATTTTTTTAAATTGTGCTCTATTAAGACTAAATAAAATCATTAATTGTTATTGGCGAAGCAAGCTTTAAACAACGCTACAAGTGAAAACATCCAGATTAAATATAAGAAAAATAATAACTCAATAACACAGTCACATGTAGTGACTTGACATATGTAACGTCAAAAAATTTGTCAATAATGTCATATTACTTATACACTATATTACCGATCTTAAATGAGCAGAAGTTTTGCTTAAGACGTTGTTGTACTTCCGAAGAACAAACGCCAAATATAAAATGAATGAAATTTACAAAATAGCTGACATTTGGATACATCGACAGATTTTGGTAATTATTAAAAAATATTAACAATAGAGTCGCGTATGTAATGTTTGAATCTCTTATAATAAGGTGACCATATTTTTTTTAAGTCAAATCCGGGACGGCAATTTTTAGTTATGCTAATCCGGGACGTTGGGGGGGGGGGAGGGGGGTGTTGTTCGTTTATATAACAAATGCTATACAAGGATACAATGAAAAAACAGTTTTTTTAAATAAATTTTTTTTATCATAATTGCGGACTTTTAGTAAGCTTAAGCTTATACTTCGACTTTTATATGCAATACTTCTTTACCTATGACATTATATCTTGTATTTTTCGATTTATATAAGTTCCATTCAATTTTCTTTATAATTGATTTGAAAAAAATAGCAACTGTTAGTTTGTTTTCTTAATTTTTGTTAATTTAACTATTCAATTTCGAAAAAACCGGGACATCCGGGACAAAAAATCAAAATCCGGGACAAATATTGTTTTAAGAAAAACCCGGGACACAAGGTGGAAATCCGGGACTGTCTCGGCCAATCCGGGACGTATGGTCACCTTACTTATAAACACAGAGAAACGTAGAAAATGAAAAAATATTAGCATTGCATTAGAGTTATAAATATTGTATGTAATGAATTATAAAACTAAACAATATTTTTTACAGCGATTTTCAGATAAAATCTATATTTTAAAATTTTTGCAAAAATAAAGTTTATTTTGAAAAAGTTACGTTCAAATTTTTCATGCCAAGATACCGCAAACTGCAGGTAAATCTTCTTTAAAATTTTAACAGGTAAGTATAAATCTAAATAATATATAGAATTTAATTTCTTTAACCCATTTAGAAACTTTGTAGACACAAAAGTTGGCACATGAAACCACGGGCGTAGCTAGGGTCCGTTGCACCCACCTAAAAAATCATCCTAGTAAAGTTTGTTCCCATACTAATACCCTGGCTACGCCCATGCATAAATACTCATATATGCAATATTAATGAATCACTAGTAGTGTGTTTAAATTGTAGATAAGCTCTTTTCAAAATTATGCAAAGTGCGCGTGTTTCTAATAATTTACTGACTCACTTATGTTAGATACTATTTATTAAAAATAATTTTTAGTTAATACAAATCTATTTGCTACAACAGAACGCTAACTATATACACGTCTTCTGTGAATTGCATACTATATATCAGTTACATGTAGAGCATATTATCAATAATCAGATTTTTCAACAAAATATTGGTCCCATATTGTACGTGATATACTATTATTGCATATGTGAGCACATTAAGCTACTGCAGGAACAAACGGACTTCAACGCGCCCAATCTATGCCTGGTGAACTTTCATATTCCTGGTAATTTCCTCTGATCGGAGGTCATGGATGTAACTGCTGCCGAGGAAATACGGACACGTACGACACACGCGGCGGATTCTTCTCGATCACTGGACGAAAGCTGGTTCCTGATATCATGAATAGTTTTTTTTTACGAAATCAACGTATATATATTGCAAAGTGCAAATAAGCAACAAAGTGATCGAGTAATATAATTGCTACCGGAATTCCAATATTGATTACAAAAAATATTTTGCCTTTAATTAATAGAAATGCATTACCTTTATACGTGCGTTTATCTTATTTCTACTTTATACCGAATATAAAATAAATATACGCAAACTTTCATATCAACTATTGTTAGAAATTATATTATAATATGTGCGTGCAAATAAAAAAATAAAATTAATTTTACCTATTGTAACTCTTCTTAAAGGCCTTTCTTTGAGTGGAGGGTCGTAGTCTGCACCATAATTGTATCCAGGCTGAACCACTGCTGGTTTGACCTGCTGCACATTATTACGTTTTTTGCGCTTGTGATAGAAAATTTCTCCTGCTAAAGTGATCATTGCCAATACCAAACCAAATATTGTTGCTATAAAAACGCCACCTAAAAGGTAATCATTATAATTACACAACATACTTAATTTATGGATAATTTTGCAAATAATCAAATACTTAAGAAGATACTCGTTTATTAAATATAATGTATGCGTTATGAATATTAAAGAAATGGTTGTATTTATTAAATGAAAGTTTTAGCTTTTGATATTAACTTTTTTTTGAAAATTTAGAAAAGAAAATTTTAGGTATAACTCAGCGACAAATGAATTAAAAGTGAAAAATTGTGTCATTTTTTATTGAAAATTCGACGCTCTGCAAATTTTTTGAAGTTTTTTTCATGCTATTTCCATTGATTGAATTGCGCACTATCTAAAAGGCAATATTAAGAGCTAAAACTTTCAAAAAATTGTTTTTTATCAATTTGAAACCATTTGAGCCCTTGGAAGCAAGGAAATTCAAAAATGTACATATTAAGGACCACCCTGATGCATATAATATATATATATATATATATATATATATATATATATATATATATATATATATATATACATATTAATAAATATGTCTCTATACACATTTATTATGCAAATCATTCTCAATGAGTTCATAATTCACCATCAACTCACGTATGCAAATAACGAAAAAGCTAGTTTTTACTATACCGATATACTGGTCTAAAATTAGACATTTGCTTACTTACATATTTTTATAATTATTTATTTCTTAAAGAAAATTTTGATAAAGTTGTGATCTCGCAACATGCATAAAATTTCCAAATTTAATACAAAATATCTCGCTTTATCAATTAATGCCTTTCTGATAAATTAGCATGGTGAATTATCATTCTCAAGTTTTTGGTAGTTCAATAATGATCATAATATGTTATAAAAGTGCATTTAAGTAGACTCATTAAATTTACCAAGACTTTCTAGTGTGATGCCTTCGCTATCGTCTGTATTCGGACAAAGGCCTTTAGCAGATTGATTCCAATATTTATTAGACAACTGTTCAAAATATCTGTCTTTCTGAAGATCTAAAATTTTTCGGCTGATCTCATCTTGTAAATGGCTTCCTTGCTGAACAGCTACTGCATACGGTTGCTCAGCAAATATCTCTCCTACCTCGGTGAGATTACAATTCCGTGTTACTTCGTATCTAAAAATAAAAAAAACAAAAGAATAATGTTACTTTTTATCCAAAAATACCAAAATTTGCTCAATTATATAGCCATTAAATTATCATTTTTTGTAATATAAACAATTATTTTATAAAAAGTCACCTACAAATTATTTACTATTTGTATAATTATCTACTAATTATTTAATTTTTGTTATCTGAAATGAATAAAATATATAATAAATGATTGAGTGATGATTTTGCTAAAATACAAAAGTTACACAGATCAGGTATTTCGAAGTTGCAGTACGTGTTTGTACGTGATCGAAAACTTAAACAATTTATAGATAAAAGCATAATATTTTGGAACAGAGGCAGATTGATGCAAAAAATCTTTTGTAAAATTCATAAAAATATTTCAGTATTTCTGAAATTAGTTTAGATTCATATAGCTATGAACTTTTTGTCGCATATAATACTGGCCATAACTTCAGAATTCTTAAAATTTTGAATTTTAGCTCAAATCAAACTTCTAGATTTATTTAAAAAGTTAAATAATATCCAACAATAAAAACGTGTAGATTTAAAATATTTTATTATTTTCCGAATATTCATTGGCAAATTTTAGCAAATAGTTTGTGTTTTTTTGTATTAGATTTTACTGGATGTCAAATCCGGCTCGAAGGACCAATGTTTTTTCAATGGTTGTTTGATTGAATTTTGAAGGACCAATTTGTTGTAAACACTTTAATTTGTAACTTTATGTATTTATTTTATATTAATTACAAGTTATAACTATATTTACAATAATTTCAATGTTGTTTTTAATATCGTATTGATTGACTTGATTTTTTATATGATTTTGGATTAATAATATTTTGTTTCTTTTAATATAAATCGCACGCTTTGATATGGCGCGAACAGTTTGTGTATATAATTTCTACAACAAATTAATATGTATTTATTTTTGAAGTATGATTTAACTTTAAAGTAAATGTAATGAATGTGGTCTAGAAATTTCTTGTCCCGGATTCGATCCCAACCTTTGGCTAGCAGATTTTCACTTGAGATCATGGATGAGAATAGCCAATACCCTGTTGAGGGTAGCAACAAGGGGCATTGTTACAATATAACACACACACACACACACACACACACACATATATATATATATATATATATATATATATATATTTAATATAACCACCACACGTAAGAGAATGTTTAAATCGATGGGTTGCCTCTAATGACACATTAGGTAAGTCTTCAACAAAAAGTTTATAAGGCAAGTAGTTCTAAATATTTCTGATTACTGTTGAAATTAATAAATATAAAAAAATCAATTACAAACTTGAAATTAAATTCAATGAAAGTTACAAATTTCATTGAAAAAATATTGACTATTAAATATATAGAGAAATCTGTTTGCAAAAATATTTGAATGCTGTAACGTGAAAAATAATAATAGTTGTACGTAATTTATTTATTTATATTTATTAGTTCTCTTCAGTTCTAATCATATGTTACGTACAATGTTTTACAAATTTTGTTTTATTTTTTTTAAAACAAGTGGCAATGCGCTACTGCAAGTTAGTCAAGAGAAACAATGCATGATAAATCGCATCGCAAAGTAAAGCCCGGAGTTGTTTAATTCTATGCCGAGCGATTCGCAGTCGGAGGAATTTTACAATCAATTAAGTTAATGCAGCGCATAGAAAACTGTACAGTACACGAGTGGAACGACATTGTTACTATAGTTCACTGTTTCCTCAAATAGGTATCGCTAATTTAAAACCAGGTGGGTGGGACGTCAGCTAAAAATTTCAAAATATGTTTACTTTTACTTGTATATCCTATCACGAGAGTAAAATTAATTAGTGTCGACCTATGTCAAGGATAATATATCCTACATTCACTACTAATTTAGAAAAATCTTAAAATATAGAAGACAATCTTAAAATTTAATTATAAATAAATATAATTTTTAACTTTCCGTAGGGTAAGCTACTGTAATAGTCCAAAAATCAGAAATGAAAATTTTGCATATTTTCACGTTTCAAAGGTTTTTGAACATTTTGGCATACCTCAGAAAAAATGTGTGTGTGCGTGTATGTATGTGAGTGTGTATGTGTTTTGTGTTGATACAATTTTTTGTCTACGTTTTCAATTGATTTCAAATATTATAAAAACATTCGATTTCTACTAATGAGGAGACGTGCTGATTAGTGTTTGACAAAGATAAATCCAGCCGTTTCGAAGATAGGAAGCAACGAGTGCAGAAAATAAAAATCGAATTTTTAAAAGCATTCAATTCGTAATAATGGCGAGAAGTGGTGATTAGTTTTTGCCAAAGAGAGATCCAGTCGTTTTGGAGATAAGAAGCTAAATAAGCAAAAAAGTGTAATTTTTGAGAAGACGAAGCATCTCATTTGAATGATTCAAAAACTCTTTTGCTTTTATTGACGAAACGATTGTTTTTGGAGAAAGCGAAAACAATTTTTTTTATTTTTGAAAATCGAAAATAATACGGATTTTAATTTTAATTCCAGCAAAAATTCTAAAGCTTACTTATATACTCAAAATATCACTTTTTTCAATATCCTTCGAATATTTCATTACGGTATAAGAAGTTACAGCAATTTGCCTTAAGGCACGATGCCATACACTACTAGTTTATATATCATTTTACCAGACAAACAAAAACTATGTAATTTACATATGTTAAAATACAATAGTTTTAATGTTATTTAGGTATAGTTATTACATAACGTAGTGCATTACCATATCCATTTCATGTATTTTTGTTGTTTTTTTTTGTTTTTAATATTAAAATAAGCAAATTGTAAGTATTTTTTAATTTTTACTTGTAATTTTTCAAACTCTTTTAAAATTAATTTAGTTCCAGTAGATGAAGAATAGGACTACAGATGAGATGTATGGATTAGAGAATATTATTTAAAGAAATTTATGTTTTTCATAAATATCATGTATATATATATATATATATATATATATATATATATATATATATATATATATATATATATATATATATAATTACTTAAAATCAGCATAACAAATTACTAAATACACTAATACAAACGCAGGGATTCGTTTTTCTCCAAAAGTAGTAGATTTTTCTGAATATTATCAGTATTCTCTTAACTTTTCCTGACTTTTCGTTCAAAAAGAGAGAAAAACTTGTGATTTTTTTAAATCTTTTTTAACTTCCCGTAGGGTAAGTTATTGTAATGGGCCGAAAATCGGAATTGAAAATTTTTACATTTCTCGACGTTTTGAAGGTTTCTGAACGTTTTGGCATACCTCAGAAAAAATGGATGTGTGTGTGTGTGTGTGTGTGTATGTATGTGTGGATACAAATTTCCAGTCACGTTTTAGGGCGCACGGATCAACCGATTTGAATGGTTAAAAAAACATTCGATTCCTATTGATAAGGAAAAGAGCTGATTAGTTTTTGGCAAAGGCAGGTCCAGCCGTTTCGGAGATACGGAGCAAAGAGTGCAGAAAATAGAAATCGAATTTTTGAGAGAACGGAGTATCCGATTTGAATGATCTAAAAAACATTCAATTAGTAATGATTGGGAGAAGTGTTTATTAGTTTTTGGCAAAGGCAAGCCCAGCCATTTCGAAGATACGGAGCTAAATATGTAAAAAATGGCAGTTTTTGAGAGAACTAAGCGTCCGATTTAAATGATTCAAAGAACTTTCTGCTTGTCTTAACAAAATAATTTATTTTGAAAAAAAAAATTTGTTTCAATTTTTTTTTTTTTTTTTTTTTAGTTTTTTTTTTTTTTTAGTTTTTTGTATATCGAAAATATTTCAGATTTTATTTTATTATTTTATATTAGACAATGATACAATATTTATAATAATCTATTTGAAAATATTCAGTATTCAACGGGAAGTTCCAGCAATTTGCCTTAAGGCACGATGCCATAATTGCCTCAAGACAGTATTCCACTTACAGCTAGTTTTTATTATTTTTCAAACATAAATCAAAACTATCGTGTTCCATATGCAGTTGTGACGTAATTTCTCGCATCCTACCATTATTAAAAAAAACATACATCGTGGTTATCCTTTCTGTTTGTGATAAGATTATTACTAGATGTTTCTAATAGTAATGAGATATATATTGCAGAAATGCTCATTAAAAATCATATTTTGATCTATATTTTCAAAATAAAACTAATATAATTACTCTTAATATCAGGCGAAAATTAAATCTAGAAACTTGCGGTTTTCAAGGTCAAAGCTCTTATTACTGCGCCATGATTAAGCCCTGAAGGACAATGGAATAACAACATTTCACTTCCACTCGGATTTACTGGGTTCGGGATTTGAATAAAAAGTTCATTGAATAAAAGTTCTAGGTGCATAACCATAGTTCCATAATATGATCGTTTCTGACATTATGAAGCACGTTCGTTTATTTGCGAGCTTAACTATAAAACTCATGTAAATAAATACTATTAAATGTTTATGGGCATATTTCATGTTCCATTTTATGTTCTGAGAGATTGATATGAACCGAAATCACTAGACAGTATAATATACTGATGATGAGAAATATATAGCCCAGATAGTATTCGCGCCTTCAGAATTAAAGAAATAAAAAGTTATTAATTCCATGTGTTATGTGGCATTGAAGTCTGCCAATGCAAATCAAGTACGGACGAGCATCGTTATATAACACATAAAAACTATTTACAGCAGCGAAACGTGCAAAAGGGAAATTTGAATGCTTCAAATATTTTGTTGTTCTTTTTTTCTTCCAAACTCGATATCATTAGATACAAAACTATTTCTTCAATGAATTAAACAACTAATTATTTCCTGTCCATCTACATCATATAAAAGTATCAAATTTATATTTTGATTCGACTAAAAGTGTAGAGACTTAACAAGTATTAAATATTTTTATATATGTCTTTAATGATCAGATACTATAAGGAACGCAAAACCAATTAATTAAAACTAACAAACCAAATGACTCCTGAAGAAAAATTGAAGAAATT